ATTCCCTGCAGCCAACACTGGAGATGGCAGGGGGGGATTGACCCTTTTAGATGGCGGATGATCCATCCAGTGTCTAAGAAAGTCAGGCGTAGGAAAAATACATTGGACAAAGTAGTCCTTACTATGTGTTGTGTTTTTAGTTAGAAATAGATGTAAAATTAAAAAAAGAAAGACAGAGTAGGAAAGAGGAAGTGGGAAAAGGTAAGTATGGCGTGACATTGCTGCTTTAACCCCGTAAGGACCAAACGTCTGGAATAAAAAGGAATCATGACATGTCACACATGCCATGTGTCCTTAAGGGGTTAAAGGTATCCATTTTGCGCTATTTTTCCACTCCACCTGCCACTCAATACTTGATACGTCAGTAATAAAATGTGACTTTCCAACCAGTCTCTTCTAGTAAACTTTGAGTCTGATGCCAACTTATTGTTTTCAAAAATCATACTTTATTGGAATTTATTGGGAGCACATAAATATATTGAATTGAGTTCTCTTTTTTTGTTTGTACTGGGAAAGGCATAAATAAAGATTACTTACTTATGTTACATTTAAAAGCATGGATGTGTATCAATTTAATCAATTTGTTCCATCATGATAGACCAAAACATTCTATTGGCAATAATACACTCCTGCACACTCTTACATCTGGAACTCAATAAAACAGATTAATGTAACGTCAGCACGGCTGGGTTTGATGAAATTAGTGTTGTACAGCTCCTCAAATCATTGACTGATGAAGTAAAGTAAGTCTGACACAAAGAGCATTGTTACTTGGATTCCCAGACATAACTATCGGGGGCCCCAAACAGCAAAATCAGACATAAAGGATTCTTGGAAAAACTTCAGATCTTCAGGTTAAAAAGAAAATAAAATTGTGCTGCTGGATAGATCTATTCCCAAATAAGGCAGAAACCAGTTAAAGTGGAAGCTTTGTATTCCCCTTGTTTTACGATAATTTTATAAAGATTGAAAAAGTGTTACGTTAAGAGGACAGTCTAAGCACCATTACCTCCAATGCTCCTTTCATAGGTTATGGTGTAAGGAGGTCTCCTGTCCAATCTATGCCTAATGCCTGGAGTGGTTGCTAAATCTGGCTTATATGGTCCACCCCCTCCAGGAAGGTTTTGATCATTTAGCCACGCTGCCCCCACATTCTGGAACCTTGCTCGGTCAGAGAGGCACCATCTTCACAGAATTTTAAAAATAAGTTAACAACCCACCTCTTTTATCAGGCATTCAGTCAGCTCATCTGACTATCAGAAACTCTTAACTTTAATGTCTGTTTTATATATTTGTTGAGTGATTTGAGTCTCACAGAGAGAAAAGCACAATAAAAATCGCAAATTATTATTATCATCTAAGATATTTCAACATTCATACTTTACACATGACTCATTTGGTATCAAAGAGTAAAACAGATACATTATTAAGAGGGTTACATGGGAGGGGGATATCATTTAGTTATTTTTATTGGAGACTTTACTGACTTTTAGGATTTTCTTTTTTTGCAGGGCTTAGCTCATTGACCGAGAAAGATAAGCTGTCATCAGTGAGCTAACCCCTGCATTGCTTCTTTAGCTAAGGAGAAATAAAGGAAGTCCCTTTGTAGGAACTTCTGGCTCTCCGGCGTTGATAGTGGAAATGGGGAGCTGTGTTAAAAATTATTTAATTTCCTTCAATGGGTGTTATCATGGCACTCCTGGCACTATAAGCACTACATCACAATGTAGTGGCTATGGTGCTCGGAGTGTTCCTTTACAACGAATGTCACTAAGGTAAGCATCTCTTGTTAGGGGTTGGGAATAGTCATTTTGATTTGAGTGAATAAAGGTTATGGGATACTGTTAGAGAAGCTGAGTATGGGTGGGTGTTTAGGGTTACGGGTGACTGGATAAAAACCTTTGAGGTACTGTGAATTGTCTAATTCTCAGTCATATGATTGGCCTACCAGTAAAAAAAACAATGAAAGCAATACCCACTCTCTCCAAGTCCCTTCTACTTAATCATTCTCTAACTCTAAACACTCACTAATTCTCAAAATCCTAAATACCCCAAAGTCTTAAACTCAGGGGGAAAATGTTATATACCACACATCCATTTTAACACTGCGTTTTTTGGGGGGGGTAGTGAGAGAGGTACTAAAATCAAGTCAAATACGCACCATTGCTTACTTCCTTCACCAACCTAACTTGCCTTTCATGAACTAAAATAAACTCTGGGGTAGCCTTGGGAAATCACTACAAGGCACAGAGTGCAAGATTCAAGATATTCTTGTTTAGCTTGTTGTGACTTTGTTTATAAAGCATATTGTTTCCATTAAAAAAGGCTGACGAGAGAATACGTGAGTCATCAACACCCTCCCAAATATTGTTCTAAATAATGAATGGGAGAAATATTGGTTTAAAAAGGGAAAGTCTTTGTAGACAGACCTGAGACATAATTTGAAAGTCAGTTTAAATAGATGTCTATAAATGCAGGCATTGTGCAATTTAATCAATAATCATTCTGTGGGTTTATGTTGTAAGAACTGCTAGAACACTGATGATGTATTTTATTTCCGCAGCAGGAGTTGCGTGTCCACTAACTGTGGTTTACACATCGCATGGGAAAGACTACTGATATATCCGCATATATAGGCACGCCTCACACTGTGAACTGCTTTCTACCAAATGATCAGTTCACAGCTTGGTTGATCATATACCATAGATTAGTGATGTCTCGAACGGTTCGCCGCGAACGGTTTGCCGCGGACTCATCACTGAATAAACTTTTTTCAGCAGACACATTCCAGCCAATCAGCAGCAGATCCTCCCTCCCACACCCTCACACCTCATGGACAGCTCACTAAGAATGCAGCTTCAAAATGGATGCTGTCCAGGAGGTGGGAGGGTCTGGGAGGGAGGGTCTGCTGCTGATTGGCTGGAATGTGTCTGCTGACTGTGAGGTACAGGGTCAAAGTTTACGCAACGTTCGGCGAACCGTTCGGGACATCACTACATAGGATCAATCCAAAGTATTAATCCACAAAGCGCAGCTTATTTATAGCAGCCCACTAGTGCTGTCCAAGGATGAATTTGGGCTGCCCTAGTGGACCCCTATAACTAAGCTGTGCTTTGTGGATGAATACTTTGGATTGCTATATTTTGCTTGCTGTTGGAGCTGCAGCAGCTTATACACAATAGCTGCATTAGGTTAAACTATTTTGCCTTTTGGTATTGTCCTATACCACACTCCGAGATCATATATTTGCTTTATATCATAGGATAAGGGCTGGATTAAGAGTCTTTTGGGCCGGGTGCAGATGATTCTAATGGCCTCATCACAGAATCTTTCTGATAGAAAGCTCTATAACAGCTTTACCTCTGGGGTGCACTGGAGGGACACTTGCAGGATGCGTTTTAAAGAATACAAACACCCTATGTCAACCTCTCTCTTACACCTCTCAACCCAGTCTACATGTTTATGTTATAAGCCACCAAAGCTCTCATCTCCTCTCTATTCAGGACTAATTTTTCCACTTCTCTTCTTCCCTTCATACCAGCTTGACGCCTTGATATGCAGCCTGGGACAGAGAAAGAGGTGGATGTAGCGAGTGTAGCAGAAAATATGCAGCACTGTCACAGGAGGATGTTGGGCTGTTAGAGAGATAGAAGCAGCAATAGCTTTTACATAGTGCACAAAGTTCACTTTATGTCTAGCCAGTCCACACAGGTCGTGTCCCCACATCTTTCCTAAGTTCCCTCTGTACAAAATCATAAAGCAACAGCATGTGAGGACTGGTGAAGCTAAAAAAATATATTTATTTTTAGCAAATTTGTATTCTTAACACTAAAGAGCCCTCTGCTACCACCATCTCTCACCCCCTCCTCAGCCGCTAAAGAGTTAAAAAAAATAATTAAATCCTTTTCTTTGTGGATTTTAGTGATGCTGGAAGTATTCACGCAGAACGTGAGGATTAGCGATGTCACGAACCGTCCGCGAACTTCTCGCCACGAGCTGTTCGCAGCGAACTCCGGTCAGCTGACACGTCCCGGCCAATCTCCAGCAGACCCTCCCTCCCAGACCCTCCTACTTCCTGGACAGCAACATGGATGCTGTCCAGGAAGTAGGAGGGTCTGGGAGGAAGGGTCTGCTGGAGATTGGCCGGGACGTGTCAGCTGACCGGAGTTCGCTGCGAACAGCTAGTGGCGAACCGTTCGCGAGAAGTTCGCGGACGGTTCGCGACATCTCTAGTGAGGATGTCCAGAGTTATTTAGGGGACCAAAAGTCCCCTAAGAACCAGGAAGTGCTTTTAGTGGCTAATTGACAGCCACTGGAGTCAGTCTTACCTCTGCAGTGTAATCATTGCAGTTTCTCAAAAACTGCAATGATTTACATTGTAGGACTAAGTGAGACTGGAACACTGCACCCAGACCATTTCAGTGAGTGAAGTGGTCTGGGTGACTATAGTGTCCCTTTAATGATTTTGTGCTCTCATATTTTTTTCTCATCTTTGTATAAGTTGTGGCTTTGGCTGAGCTACAGTATTTCTCCAGGTCAATTATTTATGCCTCAAGTTTTCCATTTGGATATAAATTCTGAGTGTAGAAGTTTAGTGAATAACCCTAAGAATTAACATAGAAATGCAGGGCCAAGGAATCATGGCTCAAAAAATGGCCTGTCCCCCAATAAGTGAGGGAGGGGGAGAGAGAGGAAGGAGAGGAGGGAGTGAGTATTCCCTCTCTCCCCAGTTTAACTATTGTGCAATTGATTTCACTGTGTACTCAGAATCCCCCACAATTTATAACTTAGTGAATAACCTTGAAAACAATACATTTATTTTAATACATATTACACAAGCATCATTTAAAATCTGTCCAGAGCTATCCAGCGTGCCCTAAGAGCAATACGGAAAGAAACTCTCTGAAACAGCCTGACAGTATTAATGAGCCCCAACATTAAACTATAGTAAGGGGAGAAATGCGCTTTATATGCGGAACTATAGTTCAGCAACCTGCTCTGCTTCCCCGTGCCCGGAATGCATTACGATTCACAACAGCCACTTCCTGTTTGCCGTCTCCATGGAAACAGAAGACGCGCTTGGAATTTGGAACGTTCAAACTGCAAACATGTCGCAGGAAGTCTTGTTGAATGTAACCCCCAAATTTACCTTCTGCCCCCTTCCAAACAGGCCCTTTAAGTCCCTGGAAAACAGAGACACCAGAGAGCTGCTGATGAAATGGTAAATACTGGTTTGCTGTGCCTGGATTTAATATTATTATTATTATTATTAATGAATATTTCTAGAGATAACTGGTTGAGAGATCTCTATATACCACCTTTAATTACATATTACATGTGTGTGTTCTCAAGCTGTTATCTTGCTTATAAAAGTATCCTTCTAACAGTAAAACTAAAACATTAGGACAAAAGTATGCTTTGCATGCCTATAGAATGCCAAAGCATGATGGAAGCTGTAGTTTTAAAACACCTGGGGAATATACCTTTTGGGTTTCCCCGTTGCTCTAAGGCAGGGATCCTCAAACTCTGGCCCCCCCCAAATGTTGCTGAACTACAACTCCCATGATTCTCTGGCTATCGATGTAATTCAAAGAATGATGGGAGTTGTAGTTCAGCAACAACTGGAGGGCCACAGTTTGAGGACCCCTGCTCTAAGGAGTAGTGAATCGGAAACTGAACTGAACTGCAAAAGGTAGGTGGCTATAGGTGAATTGCTGATTTGTTTTCCAAGTCAGCGTTTTATTGCCTACATTTTGCAGTTCTCGTTTCTGGTCACTGCAATTCTATGTTTAGCAAATATGCAGCTGTAACAGTTTGCCTACCCTTGATCGTAGTACTATAACTAGTGAAATGCAGTATTGGAAATCAAAATTTCATTTAAATATACCTAAGTTACATTATGTGTACTTGGGATTTCAATGTGATATTCAAATTTGAAAGGGCTACTCCAAATATCATAGCCATTATCACTCGCTGTAGTGGTTATGATCCCAGGAGTACCCTGTTCCCTTTTCCCAATAATGGGGCAAACCAGTTTGCAATGACTTGCCCTCTTACTTGGGTATGGAGTCTCCCTTTCTGCAGCAAAAGGGTAAACTCTGTAGGTGCAAAATGCTGCGCATACAGACAACAAGCTGCCTGAATACATCAAATAGCTGAAGTGGTCATGGTGCTGGGTGTGGTCCCTTAAGCCAAAATAGTCAAATGTAAAACTATATCTGACTTGTATGTTATTTTCCATTTAGGTGATTTTAACCTAAAATGTGAAATTCACTTTGAATTACTGAAAAAGTTACAGTATAGTATTATCTTTCTCTCCATTTGTTTAGATTCAAGCTAAAATGGTAGGTTAAGACCATACTACTCTGTTCTATTCTGATCAGTTACAAAAAATGCAGATAATCTGATAACAGTTAAAAGAACATTCCAATAACCATAAGTACTACAGAACTATAGTGGTTATGGTGCCAGGAGTTCAAACCCCTCCAATGTAAGTAGTTTGACTTTTCACCTGGGTACACCTGGCATTAGTCACTTCTGGACGCTCTATGGTCCGAGCTAAGCCTGGTGGCTGAGAGTAGTCAGCTGGTACTTTCAACCAATGAACTAACACTAGAGTTTCGCTCAGGAATGCAAACAGAAGCTCCATGCAGTGTTGTTTAATAAACACATTTTGCACATTGCTTTTTGGGCCAATCCATCGTTTTTTTTCATGTCACCCAAGCATATCTACTGGCATTGCAATAGGGATATACCGGTAGGTAATGCCATGCATCATATTCTTTTTAAAAAGAAAAATCCATACTTGTAGTAATTAGCACTGGATCACCAGTTCAGTTTTTAGTATTCTTTTTTTTTTTTTTTTTTGTAAGAAATGTTTACCTAGGTTAGGGAGTACCAATATCTATAACAAAATGTAAGAAAATAAGCATTGACATGGCTCTTATGCTACATATTGCACACATTTCCTGTAATTACACAAGCAGCACACTGTGGAATCAAAGTGCAGTCTGGGGTTACAGTACTACTTGCTATATTGACTGTGGTCCCTGCACCAGAGCCCTCTACGTCTATCCCGATTGTTATATGATCTTCTCTTTTAAAAGTAGGTTGTCGTCCCTGCTTATCTTCTGTACTGTAATGTTTGACATGACATTGTATAACACAGAGCTAGATAATTACTCAGTAATACCTCTCACCATTATGCCATTTTGGAGGGACAGTCCCAGTTTCAAGCCCACTGGCATAATTGCAGGATTGGCACCCTGTAGACACCAGGCAAAAAGTCAAATCTGTCATGCACAGTGGGCGTGATTCTGTCCCAGGATTGCAGGGGATAACCTGGTTTTCTGGTTGTTTTTCATTACAATAGTCCCTCCCTGGCACCACTATGTCTGGAAACCTAATTAAGTTAGCACCAGCTAACACAATAGGCTCCCTGCTGGGTCTTCCCAGACCTAAAGGCAAGATATACCAAATGTCTTTCAGAACCCCCTTTTTTACGTGAACAGCACCCCCACAAACTATATGTCCCGGGATAGCTCGTCAACGAGCACCGCCACTGTTTAAATAGCACCTTAATCAGAGAACCCCGAGCTACAGTGTTTAAAATTTTACAGAGTTTGCTCAAATCCCAGGTATCCTCAGATGCCTCATGGCCTCTGCGATCTCCCCCCAAAATAGGGCCTGTTTGGTGGTCTAAGAACTGAGTGATACCTGATTACCTGGCACAGTCCCGATTCAGTGAACAGTTATAGAGAGATTTAAGGCATCTCCCGGTAAGGCACTGGATGTGCTGGACGAGTCCAGGCAATCACCAGAGTCCCCAATGCTAGCTGGGAAGTAGAATAAGTGACCAGGGTCCCCATAGCCCTCCCCACAGTGATAATAACCCCTTCCAGGTGTTATTTGTCTTTTCATTGTTAAAATATTCTGTCTTGGTACTCTAGCATCAGAATGTACATACCTATAGAGACAAGGTTATAAGTCACATAACCAGACTGTCAAAAAGACACTATAGACACAGCAGACACTCAGACAACCTAATCTCATTGGAGGTTAATTCATTTGGTGTCACTTTATGCCCTCGGATGGGAGGATGGATAAGGTAGCTAGAGAACAAGTTGTTTTAATGCCCACATTTTCTCTATTGTGACATCTTGGCAGATAGACCTCTCCATGACAAAACCGTTTTAAAACAGTTCGACTCCTTACAATGGGGGATGCCAGGGAACTCCTGACACCATAGCCTCTACAGCGACCTGTAGTGGTTATGCTACTTGGAGTGTTCCTTTAATGAAGTAACTGTAAACACTCTGTGACTATAACTGTAAACACCAACATATCTACATATTTAAAGTTACGGTAAGTTAAATTCACCAGATTGCCACAATCTCTTCTTTTTTAATTTTTTGTTTTCTTTTTTGTTTTTTACAAACTTAAGCAGGATATTTGACTATTTTAACTTATATTACTGCTAATATTTCAGACCTATGCTGAATGTTTGCATGATAAAACATCCCTAGCAAGGCATTACTTAAAATTTCTTGTAAAGCCTGAATGAAAATTTTAAGTTATGTAAATATACACAATTAAATAAATTTTTTTTGTATCTCTGAACAATAATGTAACTCTTTGCGTTCCAATAAATTTTTACTAAGCGCGCCAGCAGGTCTTATATACATTTTTAGAAATTAATTTTTCCCCAAAATTGGAGATAGCATGCGCACAGTGCTACGCAATATCCCGCTGGAACGCAACGCAACCTTTGTGTGCGTTCCACCGCCAGGATCAAACTCCTCCTCCTACAATCCTACTGTCAAGTATTTACTTCTAGACGACAAGGTAAGCCGGCTGCTTAGCAGGTCTGTACCCCTCCTGTCTTTGTGGTGGAACGCACACTGGGTGCCTGTGTTCCACCTTCTTATACCGCCGATCCTCTGTGCCAGGTGCCAGAAAAGGCAAAAGTGGAGGGGCGAAGATGAGTGGGACAGACCTGCTGATCAGTTGACTCGCCTTATCCCCTAGAAGTATTCCGAGGCAAAACTAGCACAGGGGCTTGGAGCCAAAATTGTCCTGCACCCCAGCCCCATGTGCCTTGTTCCCTTACCCCAGTCCTTCTATGTGTCTCATTTCCTGCCACCCAGCCCCTCCATGTGTCTCATTCCGCTCCCTCCAGCCCCTCTGTGTCCCATTCACCTCCCCAGTCCCTCCATGTGTCTCATTGCCGTCCCCCCAGTCCCTCCATGTGTCTCATTTCCCGCCCTCCCAGCACCTCCATTTGTCTCATTTCCCCCAGCCCCTTCATGTGTCTCATTCCCTTCCCTCTTCAGCCTTTCCATGTTTCTAATTTTCTTCCCCCCAATCTCTTCATGTGTTTCATTTCCCTCCCCACCAGCCCCTTCGTGTGTCTCATTTGCCCTTCCCAGTAGCCAGTCCTTGCATCTCATTCCCCTCCCCCCATCCCCTCCATGTGTCTCATTCCCCTCCCTTCCACCCCCTACATATGTCTCTTTGCCCTCCCTCAGCCCCTCCATGTGTCTCATTCCCTTCCCCCCAGCTGCTTCAGGTGTCTCATTTCTCTCCCCACCAGACCCTCCATGTGTCTTTCCCCTCCCCAGCCCCTCCATGTGTCTCATTCCCTCCCCTCAGACCCTTCATGTGTCTTATTTCCCAGCTCTTCCATGTCTCATTCCCTCCCCCATGTGTCTCATTTCCTTCCCCCCAGACCTTCCATGTGTCTAATTTTCCTTCCCCCCAACCCCGGCATGTGTCTCATTTCACTCTCCCCAAACCCCTCCATGTGTCTCATTTCCCTCCTCCCCAGCACCTCCATGTGTCTCCTTTCCCCCACCCCTCTATTTGTCTCTGCCCTTTCCACCCCTGTACCTGCTCATCGATACCCACTCTTATAGGAAGTACTGTCTCAGTGAGCACTTCCTATCAAACCACAGTCCGCTCAGCCACTCTACATACAGGCAGGAGCGGAGCAGCACAGCCCTGAGTTGCTATGTCGGAATATATCTGACAAAATATTTGATCACTTGTGTTCCAATGCCGCACCAGCCCCGAAGTTATGCTGACATTGGAACGCCAGTGATAAAATATTTTGTCGGATATATTACGACATAGGACCACAAAGGGTTAAACCATGCGCAAGAGTACAGCATTGAGGATGAACGATCCCATGAGATCGTGGGACCCTCCAAAGACCGAGCCAATTCCCTGCAGCCATCAGTGGTGACGGCTGGGGGGGTTAACTCTTAGGCTCCACCTTGTGTCTGAGAAAGTTAGCTGGAGGAGAAATACACAGACAAAGTAGTCCCTATTTAAGTGAAATTCCAACACATTCAAAATGAGTGTTTCACAAAGATTATATCTTTTGAAATACAAATATTTCAGGTGTGGAGGAGGGAGGGGTGACAGTGCCGCTTTAAAGTAACACTATATTGGTTGGAATACAAACACTAGGATGTTCGTCTGCCTCCGTTGCCCCTCCTAAAAATCCCTTAAACACCTGATTACAGCTTTGTCTATTCCTCTTCCAACGTCAATGCTAGGGGAAACCTAATGCGCATGCGTGGTGAGCGGATCTTGCGCGTAATGCCATATGACAAGACGTTCTCAAGCAAAGCGTGAGGACGTCCAGCGTCATTTCACGAAGAGTCCACTAGAGGCAGTCTTAACCCTGCAATGAAAGCATTGCTATTTCTGTAAAACTGCAATGTTTTCAGATGCAGGGTTAAAAGGACAGAAACACTGCAGCTTTAAAGGGACACTAAAGGCACACAGACCATTTCATCTAATTGAACTGGTGCATATAGTGTCCCTTTAAAGCAATGCGTACCATAACAAAAAGAGGTTATTAGAAATAAGGCATTCTAAAATGTACTGTATAGTGAAAATACTTTTTTTTTTTTTTTGCTACATGGTTGAAAAAGAAATTACTAACACTAACCAAAATCAACACATTTTGATATAGCACAGGTGTCTTTCTAAAGGAAGGCTTGAAGCAAGCATAAGATTTTCTGGCAATATCTACGTATATCAATCAAATCATATATGCTTATTAAATTATACAGAATTGTCAGGAATGTATGACACATTCGGCAGATGGTTTAGAGAGAACTATTAAAATCCTTGAAGTTATACAGACTTGGGCTGATAGAAACAGATGGCTATGGATCAGTCATTCCGCTGTAGGCAGACTCTGTTGCCAGTATTGGCTATAAACAAAAGGAGGAACTCCGCACTCTTATTAAAATCCTGGTGAAACCATGCCTAGGATTGGCTGCCCCTACCGTGATAGTTGAACAAAATTGTGGTCCAGGCACTCAAGGATCAGTTGAACAGCAGCTTTATTTGGAAAAGTACGTTTCAATCCCACTGCAGGGTAATATAGGGATTTAGAGCAGGGGTTCTCAACCCAGTCCTCAAGGACCCCCTACCAGTCCAGGATTTATGGATTACCTGGGTGTGTCTCAGGTGTTTAGTAAAAGAGGGGAAAAAACACCTTAGAGTCTAAGGTGTTTTTTTTTTCTTTCTAAACACTTTAACACACATTGGTAATCCCTGAATCCTGGACTGGTAGGGGGTCCTTGAGGACTGGGTTGAGAACCCCTGATTAACCCCTTAGCGACCGAGGACGGTTCAGGACCGTCATCGGCATTTTTGCCTTGAGGACTGATGACGGTCCTGAACCGTCCTAACGGTCTGGGGGTACTTACCTGATCGCCGTCGTTCCCCCGGCGGCGATCAGCGTTGCTCCGGTTGTGGGGAGACTGCCAGCAGCCCAGACAGTCTCCCCACACTGATTTAGGACCCCTGTGGCCATGTGATCGCTTAACACAGCGATCACATGGTCACAATAGGTGTCCATAGTGCTGCCTGCAGGGGGACTGTCTGTGCTGACAGGCAGTCTCCCTGCTAGTGTAAAATCAAAAAAAAAGTTAGTGTTAATAAAAAAAATTAAAAAAATTATATATGTGTATAAATATGATATATAGACATATATTATATCTATATAATATATGTCTATCTATCATATATATAATGTCATACTAAGTGTATTTTTATATTAATATGTACTTATATTAATATAAAAATACACTTATAATTAAATTATACACGTATATATATAATATATATAATAACTATATATATTGTATATATATATTATTATAAAATATAAATAATAAGTAATTTAAATTAAATAAAAAATTTTTAAATAATAATAAAAAATTAAAAAAAAATTATATAGCTATATGAAATTTTATTCTAACTGTATTTTAAAATTAATATATATATATTTATATCAAAATACACTTAGAATGAATTTGAATATATATCTATGTATATAAAAATAAATAAAAATAATAAGAAATATACATACGTCCATATACAAAATTACATAAATAATTATATAAATATACACGTAGACTTCAAATATATAAATATGCATATATATTTAAATTCTACGTGCGTATTTATGTAATATTTTTACATAATTCAGTAATTTTATTGATTGCAATTTGAGGGACCTGCCTGCCAACCCAGGCCGAAATTCCAGAGAATTTAATTTGTTAGCACTGTATTTTACCCTGTAACGTTCTACGACACCCTAAAACCTGTACATGGGGGGTACTGTTTTACTCGGGAGACTTCGCTGAACACAAATATTAGTGATTCAAAACAGTAAAACATATCACAGCGATGATATTGTCAGTGAAAGTGACTTTTTGCATTTTTCACACACAAACAGCACTTTTACTGATGATATAATTGTTGTGATACGTTTTCCAGTTTTTAAACACTAATATTTGTGTTCAGCGAAGTCTCCTGAGTAAAACAGTACCCCCCATGTACAGGTTTTATAGCATTTTTGAACGTTACAAGGTCAAATATATGGGTCAAATATTTTTACATTAAAAATGGCCAGGTTGGTTACGTTGCCTTTGAGAGCGTATGGTAGCCCAGGAATGAGAATTACCCCATGATGGCATACCATTTGCAAAAGAAGACAACCCAAGGTATTGCAAATGGGGTATGTCCAGTCTTTTTTAGTAACCACTTGGTCACAAACACTGGCCAAAATTAGCGTTCAATTTAGTTTTTTTACTTTTTTCACACACAAACAAATATGAATGCTTACTTTGGCCAGTGTTTTCGACTAAGTGGCTACTAAAAAAGACTGGACATACCCCATATTGAATACCCTGGGTTGTCTACTTTAAAAAAAATATGTACATGTGGGTGTTATTCAGAGATTTATGACAGATAATAGTGTTACAATGTCACTATTGATAAATTTAAAAAATTTATGTTTTGAAACCGCAATATTCTACTTGTACCTATAGCCCTATAACATGCAAAAAAAAGCAAAAAAGCACGTAAACACGGGGTATTTTTAAACTCAGGACAAAATTTTGAATCTATTTAGCAGTTTTTTTAATTCGCTTTTGTAGATGAGTAAAAGATTTTTCAAGTAAAAGTCAAAAAACATGTATTTTTTTCAATTTTTCATCATATTTTTTTATTTTTTTTTAAAATTAAAATACATGAGATTATATAAATAATGGTATGTAAAGAAAGCCCCTTTTGTCCTGAAAAAAACAATATATAATTTGTATGGGAACAGTAAATGAGAGAGCGGAAAATTCCAGCCAAACACAAACACCACAAAAGTGTAAAAATATGCCTGGTCGCAAATGTACAACATCGCAAAAAAGGTCCAGTCCTTAAGGGGTTAAGAGGATACTTCTCCATTGTATATATAGGACCCTACACATATTTTAGACACAATTGAAACAAAGTTTCCACCAGTACAAAGTTACAGAAAGCTACGTGAATAACAACCCCATTAATACTTGAACTAAATGGGGAAACAGAGATAAAGTAATGAGATATGTGTCCTGATCTAAATAATACTATATGAGTGCATAAATATGCACTAGAGGAGCTCCATATGTACTCCCTAAAAAAACTGTGTCCAAAAGATGCCTAGGGTCCTATATATACAGTGGAGACTTATCATCTAGAATCCTATATTACCTTAGACACATTTTGATCCTTTCCAATTTATAAGTATCCAGTTTATGTTCCCTGGATTATGGTAGACATTTAGGAGCTAAGCCACTTTGTACCTATCCAAGCATCTAATAAAGGAATCTTTCCCAATAATAATAGCATTAGTTGAGTTAAGGTGGTACTTCTTTGTAAAACTTTCCATTACCACTAGGTAGAGTATATATAGAAAGTATATTTATGTAGGGCTTTTTTTTGTGTTTATTCTTACTTAGATTGCTTATTTAAGCACAGATGTATTATTCACTATTTCGACATGGCTTATAATTAGACTAGGGATTCTACCTCTTTCTTTGTGTATATATTTACTGGGGTTAAGCACTAGGGAATAATTATCCTTAGGGGGCCCTCTCTCTATCTTTCTTAAGCTTCTTCTATTGCTCCATGGTCCAGTTCTGGCGCTTTTGGGGGTGGACAAGAGTCATCACGGGCACTCTGACCAATCTGCAAATACGCAGCCCCAAATGCAGCAAACTATTTAAGCTACAGTAGCTTTTCTGTGTGATCAGACCTTGGGTGCTCATGACCCTGATGGTCGTTCACCGTTTGTCCTTCACCACCCAACACTTTTAGTAGGTACTAACCACTGCATACTGGGAACACTGCACAAGACCTGCTGTTTTAGGGAAGCCCTGTCATCTAGCCATCACTATTCGGCCCCTGTCAAATTCATCTTTTTGCTTTCCCTTTTTTCCTGCTTCCAATAAATAAAATTCAAGAACTGACTGTTCACTTGCTGCCTAATAAATCCTACCCATTGACAGGTGTAATTATGATGATACAATCACTTCACTTATATTCACTTCACCTGTCAGTGGTTTTAGTGTTCTGGCTGATTACTGTATATCTCCTTTTGTTCTCAACCAGTTCCTCAATTTAATTCAATCTAATATACTTTATTGATGCTACAAAAATCTGGATGATGATGATAAATGTAATCGATATTGATATAAAAAAAAAATTCTAGAATATAATGCATAATGCTGCCGGTCATAAATAATCTTAAATAAGTATAACGATAATGTGCAATGCCTCTTACTGAAACAGATTACATTCTAATTTGTTGTTTGTCTTCTCCACTAGGTCTATAAACAACAGAATAGTAGCCCAAGCCTTCCGCTATGATCAGTATTTTCAGCCCTATCAAAAGCATGAGTTTGTCCTGGTAAGCGCAGTCTTATTATTATTATTATTATATTGAAATCAGAATGATATAATTAAATACAGAAAATAAAAGCTTCACAACATTCCTATATAATATTATAAGATCCACCTTTGAACTGGATGTGCATCGGAACATGAACTTCTTAGATTGAGGTGAAACAGCTGAAAAGCAAGCTTGCAAAATCCTTTTAAGCCAACAAATTTATTGACATGTCTATTAAAATCCTCCATAGAGCTTATTGTCACAACTGTCATCTGGGTGACCCTCTCTAACATCAATGTGTCCCTAAGTGAAATTTGAAGAGACACTGTAGGTATTCTTATTATATTCAGCCTCACGTTTGCTTGTTGCGTCAAGGTAAAGGTTTAAGAAAGATAAAGGTCTGGAAGAGGCTAGGAGCTTAGGATCCTTACCAGATTTGGGTGAACTTATGATTTTCAGTTGTATGTGTGTGCATGTAGGGGCGTATTTGTTTGCAGTATTGGCATTTGAATGCAGCTGTGTGTTTGTTTGTCCTGTTGCCATTTGAAAGCAGTGGTCTACTTGTGCATTTGATTGTATGTAGTGTTTGTATGTAATGTTGGCCTTGGAATGCTAGAATTTCTGCACATATATAAACATACATTGCTACAAACATACATACTATATGATTGCGCTTTAAAAGGGTTGAAGCAAACTGGGCCACCTATCAGACATGTCTTTTGGATGGCAACACTGGCAGAACTACAGCTGGTTGCGGACGCAACATCAGGTTGTCCTACGTGCGTGGGCATGTCTGAACAGTGGCTAGATTTGGGTACCAAGGCGTTTTATCAGTGCAACTGGGCCCCTGGTCAGATTAGCTGTGCTATGAGGAAGTGAATTCAAGGCTCTTCCACCCATCTTGCAGAAATAGCCTTTCAGGCTAGGAGGATGCAGAAACAGGAGGGAGGAGAGAGACGTCTTTGTGTGTTGCATCTTCACTTCTAGCATCTAAATACTCCACTAGCGGTCACTTTGAAATTATTTTTCTTAACATTACATAAATAACAAGTAATATATAACACACAGTCAAACGTAAACACTACACTACAAGTACACCACTACTTTCAAATGACAGCACTACATACAAACACACAACTGTATTCAAATGCTAACACTATACACAAATGCACCCCTGCATGTACATACATACTCAATACAAATACTTACATTCAAACACTGCTCTCAAATACAACATTGTAAAGATGGGCAAATGATACATTCCCAGCTGGTAATGCATCATGGAAGTTAAGCAACAGACGGAAATTTACTTTTTAGCCATCCTTGTTTTATTTTTGGACCAGGGCCCTCTAGACGTTAGTGTGTGGGCCACCTGATGAGTGACACCCCAGCTTGCAGGCCCCAGTGTAGCTGTTTCAGCAGTAGTTCCACCAGTGATTGAAATCTTTAAGCTGGGTGAAGCAATATTTTACTGTATGTATGGAGAACAAGTGAATGATAATATTAGGGAGCTAATAATTTGCTGTATTCAGGGCTTAGTCCATCCAGGCCTGGTGTTTTAGTCTGGCAAAGTGCCTTAATACACAATAGTACTTCCTGAGATATAGGCATAGCTTGTGTCTGTGTGTTTGGAGTACCTCCAATAATCCACTAGGTCTAATTGATCCTGTCCGAGTGACTTGTCGTTTGTGAGCAGTCAAGTAGTTGATCAGGTAGAGTATTTAAATCCCCACCTATGATGACGTTTGGGAATTTCTCAAATCTGTGAAAAAGGAATTGGAATTTTCATTTGATGCATAGACACTCAGCAACATAGAGGCTGAAATGCAGATTCGATCTGTATGGTCTCTTTTTCCAGTTTAGAATCAATTAAAGGTGAAAGCCAAACTGGGAGTTCATTGGATTTTTAAGTGACTTTCCATCTGACGAAGATGATTGCAGAAAAGTAGAAGAGTTTGAGTCATCAGAATAACTTGTGTCGAAAGGTTCTGGAGATGTAGTTGTGGGTGCTGCTATTTTACTTAGTAGAGTTTTAGTTTATCCTTTGTTCCCAGTTTCTTAGATGATACTGAGTGTGCAATATATTGATATGTGAATACTATAACCACTGCTGTGGTCTGTAATAGTTATGGTGCCGGGAGTCCCCTGGCATATTTTCACTGTTAAGCATCAAACCAGTTTAGATGTTTAGGTTTTGATGTCCAAGCACTATAGTAAGACTCAGGCTATATTCTCACAGGAGCCTATCACTGCTCAGGAAGGATTAGCAATGTTCATGGTGAATAAGAACTGATGCAATGTAAGTAACTACGTGCAGCTGTCTCCAAACAATATGATAATATTCTCACAAGCGCTGAACTTGACTCTGGAAGGATTCAAGGGTCACTAGAGGCACCCACAACACTTTATCTCATTGAAATGGTCTGGGTGCAGTGTCCCTGTCCCCTTTACCCTACAGCTGAAAACATTTTAGGTTTAGAGAGACTGCAATGTTTACAGGAGTTTCCGGGTTTTTCACAGAGTTTAACCTGAAACGATGCTGGACGTCCTCATGTTTTTCATGAGGACATCAAGTGTTTTGCAAAACCCCATAGGAAAGCATTGATTCGGTGCTTTCCTATGGGAAAGGCCTAAAGCGGGTGCGGTGCCTTCCACCCATGCACACTAGGTTCCCTATCAGACTGATGACGGAAGACATGGAGTCAGACCCCTCAACGCTGTAATCAGGATAATTGCAGCAGTGGGCAGGGGAGGGGGAAACGGAGGCAGAGGGACACTATAGTGTGAGGAACACAGCTTTGTATTGCTAAAACTATAGGTTTCCTTTAACAAGCTGCTATTGTAGAAACTCACTGAGACAATTCAGAAACAGGGTGTACATGCCCCCAATAACTATTGTCTATGCATTATGATGAAATTAAGGTCTTGCTCTGTCAACATTGTCACAAACAAACACCAGCACTCACCAGACCAACTGAATGGGTTACAGCAGCCTCAGTTCTCCTTAGTTGTCTAGTTAATGTGTAGAAATGGTCCAACACGATTCCATTCAGTATTTAGCGTTTTGTTTTTTTTGTTTTTCTTAACTTAGGCATTTTTATTGAAGCTGTCCTTTACACCAGCAATGTTTTGCCTGTACACATTGCTTGACAAAGGCTCTCATGAAATATTATACAGGGCCCTAGAATGGTTAACAATATTTTAAAGCAAATCAAATAATAGGGTGCAACTGGTCCCCAATAAAAAGCATTGACGCCATAAATATACTCTGGTTCTGTCAATGTGACCAAATAAAAACCATGCACACTGAAGATATAAGAGAAATGTGCAAATTTCGGATTTAAATTGATGAGGCCTTACCTTCAAATGCCGCATCAAACTAAATTGATTCTCATCTTAAACCTTTTTCACACATACTGTAAGAGAGATAGCAAAACGATTGTACTGTCTTACCATTAATGTAGACGTATTTTCCTAGTGATCTGTTGATGCAATTAATGGCATGCTTGCTACCTGTGACCATGAAATTGGATGCAGATGAATTTGTCAGATGCCAGTAAAAAGTATTTTGCATCCAGCAGACATAGCGTATGTTAATAGCTTTCCCAGATATAAAATGTGGCACGGTGTGAGCCAGTCTTTCAATAAAAAGTACATTATGCTCTCTCTATTATAGGAGCTTGGTTATAAGCACCGTTAATGAACAACTCTGCAGTACTGGCAGTGACTTGATAAAAAATAAAACTTTTTATTACCGGTAAGTGGCATTATTTCAGATGGGTTGAAACCACACCTGTGAAATTAATATCTGTTGCAAAAGACCAATGTTCTTCAGTTTATGTTTCCCATGGAGTAAAAAGAAGCATGTGAGCCAGTACACTTTGGGAACAGTAGTAGACAAACTGAAGTAACTGTTCAATAAAATGTCTAGATATTTAAAGGCACTCACACTTATATATATATATATATATATATATATATATATATATATATATATATATATATATATATATATATATATATATATATATATATATATATATATATATATATATATATATATATATGTAAATCTGTTATTTTCCATGGTACCTGAGTAGCATGATATTTCCTGACAAAAATGAAGTGTATATATATATTAAGGAGGAAATTGTGAGTGCAGGGCAAAGTGAATTTTTGAAAGTAAGGCACTTATTGCAAATTAATTTTAAGTCCTGTGATACCCGTCATGGGAGAATTTATTGATCACGATCCTTAAGACGGTGGCTGTAAGTGGGTGTCTACTCCACAGTTCACTCAAGCAAGCACTGCAATTGTATTTTTGGTAAAATTCAAAAGGGATAATTACAAAAAAAAAAAAATATGATAGCTACCCTTTAAAGGTATGTAATTATCGTAAAGGATACCGCACTCTCCTGGATCCTAGGGGGCAACCGGGCCTGAGGTTGGCCAGTGCTCACAATGTAATTTTTTTACATTTCACATGTTTGTTTTTAGATTTCTTGTTTTTAGATTTTTAGCTGTATCCCTAATTTAGAGTTTGGTACGTTTTGAGTCACTGCCAGGTTCAGGAAAATGAAGCTGGATAGGAAGACAAAATGGTGCCAAAATGGGGTAAGAATTAGAAGGTAATAACGAGAGACTAGTTGGAAAAAATAATAAATGGGGGCATATAGCACACAAAGTGTCGGGGGGACCTTAAAAAAGAAAAAAAATACTAGCCGCTTTTAAAAAGCACTGTCTTGTTTAATTGTTTTGTGTATTTTTTCTTTTTTCATATAGATTACACTCTCCTCTCCCCTCGCCACTTAACTTTAATAAGATAAAGTTTAATAATAAGATACCATATGTTTACAGGTGTGTGTGTGTATATATATATATATATATATATGTGTGTATGTATGTATGTGTGTATAAAAATATTGAGATATAGGCTAGCACTCACGGTCTTGTAGTAAAAAATCATCTTTATTCAGTTATTCCTTAAAAACTCGACGCTTCAGCCCACTTCCTGGGAGTGCTCTCCTTTGTCTTGATATGCATGTATATATATATCCACACGAAGGAGAGCACTCACTGGATTTGTAGTAGTCTTCAAACTTTTATTTCCCAAATGGTGACATCAACTTTTACGTCCAAACAGCGGACTTTCATCAGGATATATCTTTACTATGGGAAAGCATTGGATTGGCTGAGATTGTTTATTCTGATGATCTCAGCCAAGAAGGTGGGTCGGGGGAAGGCCAAATGCCACACGGTCCAATCAGCATCTCCGCATAGAGATACATTGAGTCAAGCTTGAAGATGCTAAACCAGTGTCCATCTGACTGACTGCCATTGGAGGTGTCCCTAGGCAGCAATATAAGCGCTGCCTTATACCTGAAAAGGCAGTGTTTGAAGTGAAACTACCTCCAGGGACATAATATACTCACCAGAACAAATACATTAAGCTTTAGTTGTTCTGGTGATTATAGCGTCCCTTTAAGCAAATTCAATCATACCTGCTTACACCCGTAATTCCTTCTACAATGATCATGTGTATTCCGTATGTCCAGTCTTTTAAATACAATTGTAAAACTAGATATTTGAGGGCTTTTTATGATAAAATCGAACATGTTTGCTATTGAAAACATTAAGTTGTTCTAAAAGGAAAACAATAATGCATACCCAGACATTCAGGATGCCTGCAGAGCCCAAACTTGATTAGATATCTTTATGAGGTAAGTGGATTGTATCAGTCATCAAAAGGTTTTACAAAACATTTTCATTGTCGCAATATTTATAAACCCCTCTGGCTCCTCATGAAATGTTTGTAGAGGATTTCCTATTCTGTTTAAAAGGGTCATAAAATAAGAGGCAGTGTTTTGTTTGTTTTTCTTTTTATAGTTGTTATGCATTCTAGAAATATATTAGCCTTAAAATAGTATTTACTGACTAATTTCCTACACCCTTTATTGTCCCTTTAAACTGTACCTGTCATGAACAAATTACTTGTCCAGACATAAAATTACATGGCCACGCAGCACATTTCATCTATACGTTATGCTAGCTAAAAGGCTGGAAAATGTATAGATATAATTTTATTTACTCTAAAGCATTTAAAGGGACACACAGGGATCGATTTTACTACCCATTTTTAATGCATTACCTAGGTAAGCAACATTAGCCCCTCATTGGCACTTTAAAATGAAATAGTTACCAGCAAAGTTGTTCAGTAAAGTGTTTCAGGAATTCAAAATGTATTGGTAATATTTTCCAAGTCGGCTACATTTTTAGTTGAGTTATATTGGCCTCATATATGAAACTTCGTTTTAAATCCTGACAATTTGCTCTTAAGTGAATAACCCTTTCACACCATTTGTAAATATAAGTCTAACCCTTTACTAACACATGGACAAAGTTATATCTTCTGTTTATTTAGGAAACAAGCTGAAACAACAGCATTCATTATGCTATATGTTTTATATGTTTGGAACACTCGTAGAGTTACAGATCACCATATTGAGACAAACATCTTCTTTTCAAAGTTTTTGGGACATAAACCTAAGTCTTATGATACCTTTAAAATATTTGTGCTAAAATGTAAAATACATAATGCTACCTATTATCCTTTTAAATATTTTAGCCACCCGCAAGTACTACTTCGTGACTTCGTGATATTTCATCAATTATGTTTTGTTTTTAATTGGGGAAGTCAGGGGCACTTGCATGCTAAGTTACTTCTCTGAAACTGCTATGTTTACAGCAGAAAGGGTTAATCCTAGATGGATCTGGCACCCAGACCACTTCATTAAGCTGAAGTGGTCTGTGTGCCTATAGTGGTCCTTTAAGTAAGTTGTAGCATCTTGCATCTGAACAGTTCTATTTTTTCCAATGATGAAGTACTGCACATGCTTGTTAACAAGTAATTACAGTTTGATTTGTGGTGTCTCAACAAGTACTTCCTGATGTGATTGGCAAATTGGTTAAGACTATGGTACCCGGTTATTTAAAATGTGACCCAGACCAGAAAATGTCTCACACCACTTAGGAAATCATTGCCCAACGTTTGTTTTCAACATACTCTGCCCAGCAGATGGTTAAGATTTGTATCTTAGCATTCATGAAAGGCATAAATAATACTTAATGGCACATGCATCTTCTAACAGCTTGCACTATTCATGAGTAGTCTCACTCATCAATAAGGGAGGCTTTGAATAAGTGTTCTCCAATTTGGGTAGATCTCACCCCATACCCCATGCAGGATGTAGTGGTGGTTATGGTGTTTAGAGTGTTCTTCTTAGTACTTGTAAGACATTTCATGTCAGCATGTATTTCTGGAGTTCAGTGAGTGCGTTTGATAAATCTTTGGCTTTATTTTATTTATTTTATTTCTTCTCATTACAGAACTTTTTTCAAGATCCAAATGTTGTGTCACAGTTGAAGTTAATCTCCGACTCTTCTGGGCAATGGAGGACTCTAGGTAACTCTTTGACTACAATGCTAGTTTAATATTTACTTTTGTCATTACAGTTTACTTATTGCATGATTTTTGTTACGACAAGTTTTTATTGTTTAAATTATATATATATATTTGTGCTCGGAATTTCTAATACGTAATGGAAAGTAGATGCAAAGTTGGTTGAGGTGTGCCGAAACCAACGTACGAGTAGGCCTGTAATAATAAGAGGGCCCACAAAGGTGAAATTTGTATGTATAGATGGGTGTAGGTGGGTGGGGACAAACAGCTTGAACGGCAAATGTAGGGGGTAGGAGTTTAAATAGGGGCCATAACTCCTCCCACAAATTCAGGCTTAATGGCCTTTTAACTTGCGCTCCGAATTTCTAATACGTAATGGAATGTATAAGAAGATGCAAAGTTGGTTGAGGTGTGCCAAAACCAACGTATGAGTAGGCCTGTAATAAAAAGGAAGATTCAAAGTAAAAACACTTTATTGCAAGTTACAGAGCAAGATTTCTGAAGGCTTGTCAGAGCTCCCTCTCTGGTCGTGGTATGTAGGTATTATAAATTGAGGATTTCTAGCGGCCCAGTCTCTTAATGATGTGGACTGGTGTGTTAGAGCTAGATGCTAAAGATGCTGCGCCTATGTGGAAGGAGTGACCAGAGAAGGAAGTCAGGTTGTAGCCCAACCTTGATAGTAGGGTTCTGACGTGCAAAATTAATTTAGCTGTGGTGAGTGGGTGCCCTTGGAGTAGTAGTAGTGGAGTGTCAGGTGAGTCTGTGTGGTGAGACAACAAGAGTATGTCAAGTATTTTGACTGGGCACCAAACATTCTTGGTAGGGAATAATAGTGGGATAAGTAGTGTGCCTGGTTTTAGTAGACGGTAATGAAAGTATGTAGTGATCTTCTACTTTCTTTAGGTAAGAAAGTGTTAGGCATAATGTGGTATCTATTTGACGTACGACTGTGAACTCCCTAGATCTGAGGAAACCGTAGAAAGCCATAAAGATGACGGCTTTAATGACCAGATTTGTGTTAAAGTCAAACGAGGATTTGTCCAGTAGGTCGCTAAGTAGCCTAAATATAGGACCATCTATCGGCAATCTGGTAGTGCCAGGGGGAACTCTAACCTTGAAAATACCCTTGAGGATTTTCTTAATAGGGTAGGATGTTAAAAAAGGTGCGTTATTAGGAAAGTTTGTGAGGACGTGGTGTTGTACCCCGGTAAGGTAAAGTTTTATGGTATTGTGAGATAATTTGAGGTGTATGTGACAGGATGAGGCAAAAGCCACCATGGTTTTAATAAAAAAGTCTCCTTGTAAGTAAAACTCTGCAGTGAATTTGTTTAAAATAGTCAGTGCCCTAGTGTAAGTGATAGTGGTGTTGGGTGAAAGTGTGTGGTGCGTGAGTGCCTGTGCATGGTGAATTGGTTATTTAACCCCTTAAGGACACATGTCATGTGTGACATGTCATGATTCCCTTTTATTCCAGAAGTTTGGTCCTTAAGGGGTTAATCCAGGATTAGCACGTGGAAAGGTGGTATCCTGCATGGTAGGTGGTGGGCCGATGTGAGAGCCTGGAAGAAGACCTGAAATTGAGAGCGTGAAAGAGCGTCAGTAGCTGTGTTATGGATACCAGGAATGTGTACACAGACTAGATGGAACTGAGAGGTTGCTGCCAACCAAGTCAGCTTGCGAACAAGCCTCATAATAGTTAACAAGGATGACCGCCCCTTGTTAATGAATTCGCAAGCTGCAGAATTGTCTGAGTAGCATTTTACTGCCTTGCCGGTCCAGAGATGACCCCATGTATGGGCGGCCGCCACATATCCCTAAACCAGTGGTTGACGAAAATAACTGCAAACCCTGTGTGTGCTGCTGCATCTGTGTAGATTGTGGGTGAAAGCTCCGATAGTGGAGGTATGAACAAAGAGACCCCGTTCCGTTCGGCCAAGAATTTACTCCACATGTGCAAATCTGCCCTGGCAGGACCGTCCAGTATGATTGGGCAGGAGTCGGGAACCCCATGGAGCAAAGATCTGCCCTGCGGAATGATACGCATCGCGAAGTTAAGGGACCCCAATAAGGAATGGAGTCCCTTCCTGGTGCAAGTAACACTCTGCAGAAACAGGCTGATTTCGTTCCAAATGCGTGTCAATTTCTCGGTAGGCTGGCTTGGAAAGATGTGGTGTCTAAGACTATGCCCAAGAAAACGAGCTTGGTAGAGGGACCAAGCGTTTTATTTGGTGACAGAGGAACCCCTAGTGTAGCGAAGGTAGTGGATAACAGATGGACACCTGACTATGTTCAGGAGCAGCCAGTAGAGGGTGCCTGCGAAAATGTCAAAGAGCTTGGGGCTGCTGCTAGACCCGTAAGTGAGCTGGGTAGAGAAAAAATACCTGTCCTTCCATTTAACACCGTGCAAGTGCCATAGTGAGGGGTGAATGGGTAGCTTAAAGGCGTTGGTAATATCGGTCTTGCTCAACCATGCATTTCTGCCTGCTGTGATAATAACTTGCATGGCGTCGTCAATTTTAGCATATTGCAGTGAAAACTCCTCAGCGGGTATGAGAGAGTTGATGCTGGGGATGGAAGAAGAATGAGGTGCAGAGAGGTCAATAATCAAACGTTTTTTACTTGAGTATTTGTGAATGGCTACCGCGATGGGGTTGGTACGCCAGGATGAAAATGGTGAAGATATGAAAGGGCCAATCATGAAACCAGCCTTGATTTCAGTGGGCAGTAGGTATAGTCTGTAAGCGCGTCGTTGGATGCTGACAATAGGTTAGGGCATTCGAGTGTGCCTTTGGGGATGGCAAAGAGGCATGTGTGAAACCCCTGTGAGAAACCCGTCATCAGATATTCTACCAGGTGCCTGGTTGGGTCTGAATGCAGATAGTAAGCCATGATGTCAAGGTTAACTTCGGTTAGTCATTTCTTGGGTGACAGTCGGGCCGGGCACATAGTCTTGGTATGAGCTCTCAAGCAGATGGAGCAGATGTGCAACAACCTGCATGCACTGAAACTGCATGTCCCAGCATTAAAGTTATTGCACACATGCGCCTTGCCCAGGAATGAAATAGGTCTGCCCAGCTTGATATTTATGATTGTACAGATCTTAGATTTTTCTGTATAAAACTAATAAGCCATATACTGAACAAATAATTGAAATGTGAAAGGTGATTAGTTCTTTCGTATGAACGAACGACATAACAATTACCTTAGTGTCAGATTGGTGAATTTAAACAGTAAAGCCTACTGTGTTCGGCTAAATACTAACGAACGGCAAGGACTAGTAAGCAGAAAGAAATGCCTGCGGTCGGTTAATGGACCGCACGAAAGAACAAATGAAAGCCATGTACATTGTGGTCGGCTGTTTTTACACCATACGAAATTAAAGACGAACATAAGTATACTGTGCGGTCGGCTGTATAACCATTCGAAAGACCAAACGAAAGAGAGTGTACTCTGCGGTCGGCTGTTTCGCCACATGAACCGCAGAAGTACACGAACGGTTGATTATGCACGAACAGTCAAGTATTATGAAGGGAGCCTTTCCCTGTGTTTTTAGGCCCGAACATGGGAAATATCCGAACACTATTTCCCACGTTATGCTGGCAATTATGACGTGCCGGTCTAGTGACCGGAAGCCGGGTACCGATCGGTTGGCAGGCACGGAGGTCAGAGGCAGGATTAGTGCACAAGTACTGTCTTTGAGTCCTGCCTTTTCCAACCACTGGTAGAATTTTCTAATGTGAGTCACATCCATTATCTGCCGGTGGTACAACCCATGGAGAGGTTTGTCTTGCCATGGAATTTCCTCCTTTTCTGCATCTTCTATCTGTTGAAGTTTCAACTGGAATTAGATGTGTATATACAATTAGAGAAAGGAATCTGCACCCTAGGGTAAACCTCTGTGGGCCCGATGCATAAACGGACACAAAATGCAAAAAATATAAGGAATGGAAATAAAATCTTTATTCAGGATCTGATGAATAACCAGATTATATTTCCATCTGAAACATTGACACGTCAATATGTGTGCTATCCATTCATTCCATCTCCTCTCATTTTTGGAAATAAGGTATGTGTACTCTTTGATATAGACATGAGAAGCACTCACTGCGTATCTGCATGCAAGTGACATCACATGATCTTGTAGGCATGGCGTTATACTTCTTGACACTCCTATATGTTTGCATGGAAAATTAACGATGACTAAAATTGTTTAACCAATTGCTTGTGGCAAGGTAAGCAGCATCACGTGAGCCTGAAGAATAGTTAGAGTCTTGGGTCTTTTTTTTTTAACTCTGCAAAATTAACTAATGGCAACTTTTTTTATGCCAGAGTTCCTGGTCTTCTAGAATTCAAGCAACCACTGATTAAAATGTATTGCAATGTTGCTCTCTCCTTACCTGTCTATGGTTTTACGCTACTAAAGACTTTGATGTGTAATATGTGTCTTGCTATTACAGTTTACCTAGTAATGTCAAATCAGGATTGGTGGCTTTATAAGAAGTAGGCACCGAATGACCCCTCAAACACCTCTAAGTGCTATTGATGGCACAAAGCACTGGCACAATACATTTAAAAATGAGGGGGTGTCAACGCCAGCCTGGTGTGGCACTTTGACGGATGTTCTAAATATACCCAGACTTTTTTTTATCTACTTGGAAATTTAAATGTAAAACTGGCAAAAACAAGATATCATGCTGTTTAGTGCCAGTAGTGACCCACCTAACTTCTACATTTCTTTGATTGAGCAGCTTCAACTTGCTAAATAAAGTGTTCTTAAAATACTACTTGAAACGGATTGTAGACGATGATCTCAAACTTATTTTTAACTATTATACACCTAAACTTTCAACATTTTAGCATCACTTTTTGTAACGCTAGATTTACAGGCTCCACGTTATTGCCAGGATCTGTCATAGTTTACGGATGCTCCCCATTGGTTGGGCTTGCAGTTTTACCTCTGTGCACTCTCTGTGTAAACCGCAGGCACGAGAATGTAGGATTAATAA